TGTTTCTTTGTTGACTCTAATCAGTCTTATGTTATTCTTTGCATTGTCTAGCAGCTGCTGGAATGATTTCTCATGGTCTCTTACTATTTTAAAGCAACTTTTCTTTTATTGGTCCCTAATTGAAATCTTATCTTCTATATTTGAAATTCTGTCCTCACATTGGCTCATTCTACTGCATAAACATTTTTTGTTTGTTTGTTTTCCTAAAGCAACTTCGTGATTTTATTGATGGGTGACAACTTTGTACTCCTAAGTATCACTAACTGTGTACAAGTGGGGTGCAGCACTAGAGGGGCAGACAGCAGAATGAGAGAGCAGACTTTAGGAAATACCAATTTTCAGTGTTTTTCCAATGTTTCATTATGTGTACACAGAAGCATGAAAGCAATTTGAAATCTTAATGGCAATAAAGTTACAATCACCCATCTATGTGGATTAACATCATTTAATTCCAAATATTTGATCTGCAACATGTATGTAGGCAGTGTTTCATTGCACAGCTATTAAAATGTATTTTTCCTGTTATTAACCAGCAACTTATTTTTGTGTTTATTTTTCTTTTTTTAAATTTTTTTATTTTGTGTTTATTTTTCCTTTGAAGTAAGAACTATGTCTTCTCTCATCACTGCTTCATTTTTATCATTTATCAAAAACTAAAGGGTAGGGGAGGAAAGTGTGGTGGACTAAAAAATATTTTTTAAGGAAAGATAAAATTCATTTTCACAAATTTACAAAAGTTGCTGGTGTAGATTTATTCTATTAAGCAATTAAACTGGGAATCAAATGCAAGTTTCACTTTCTTCTATCAGGAATCAGCATTATTTCAGAATTACAGGTTTTGGTGTATTTTCTTAAATCAAGCAACAGTCTGTTTCAACCAAATGATTCTGATTTGGAAGTAAGAAGTCAACATAAACTATGTTGCACACAAATCCCATGACATCTTTCCATTCTAGCTCACTTTTGCAGAAGAGAGAGTCTCTCTAAGGAGCCAGTAACGAGGCAGGAAGTCAGTGAGCTGGAACCCTACAAGGCGGCTGGAGGCACACACTCGGGCACACTCGGTCACAGCAGGTCCATGCGGCGGTAATACAGAAGGTAGGCGGTGCGTTCGTCGGTGGGCTTCAGCACCTTGTACTGCTGGATCACCTTGACCATCTGGTTGTTGATGCACAGCCAGCTGTTGAGCCCAATCTGGAAGACATTGGTAGTGTAGTGCCCTCCTGTGGCGCTGTTGCAGTGATGGTAGACCACTGCGATGAGCCTGTAGGTCCTATGGCGTTTAAAAATTCTTATTTTTAACCCCTGGAGAAAGCAGTTCCTTGCTGATCTCCAGGTCCACGGGGGTAGTTGATGTTCTTGACCAGCTTCTGGCAGCCGCCAGTCTTCTCGTACATGAAGCACTTCAGATGCAGCACAAAGACAGGAGGGAGCTTCTCCAGAGTCACCCGCCGGCTGATCTCCACCTCTTGCTTGGTTTTTGTGGTGTAACCCTGGACAGATTCTCTTGCCACTAGGCTCTCGAGCGCATCCTCCATGGTGCATATCTTGTCAGACTTGATATCCAGCTGCAACATGAAAAATGGCTGCAGGGTGGCAGACTCTTTCGAACTCTGCTGGTAAACCACCGACCTGATGTGTCCACCAAAAATGCTGGTGATTGGGATCTGAATGAAATCCGCCTGGTGGGTGACTGACATCTTGTTCCTGGGGCCCACTTGCTCCCATTCCTCCTCGTGGCCTTCACCTTGCTCTTGCTGCTCTTCGTTGTTGGTCAAGGGGCTTCTGGGCCCATTGGATTCAGTTCCCAGTTCCCTTCAGCACTGTTTTTTCTTTTTTTGGGGGGGTACCGGGGATTGAACCCCGGACCTTGCACTTGCGAGGCAGGCGCTGGAACCACTGAGCTAAATCCCCGGTCTGGGCCCATTGGAAACTGTGAGTTTTTCACTGTCCGGCAAGAGGAACCTCTTCAGGCTCAGCATCTCCTCATGCAGGCCATTCAGGATGAGGTCCAGGTACTCCTCAGCATCTTCCTGTCGACCCTTTTCAGACAGGCTCGACTTGATGACGGTCAGGAGTCTGTAAATGTATGTGGGCTCAAAGGCAGCTCCAGGATGGATGGCCCTCATGATTTTATCTCCAAGAGCTTGGCAGGCTTGGGAGGCACAGGCATGTTGGTAAACTCATTCATTAGCTGAAAAAAGCTATTTATCATGGGTGTCGACGTGCAAGGCCTCTGCACATTGGAGTACAGAGGAATGAACTTCATGAGGTAGTACACTGGAGGGCAAGTGACTACCACCTGCACAGTAGCATTAATGTAGCACCAGTTTCCTTTATTGATCCGCCTACAGGGTTGCCATGACACTGGCTTATGTGCTAGGGTTATATTCTCCAATAACTCTGCGATCTGCATGGGTACGGGATCCTCTGAAACTGGAACAAGACCTTTGACTTCAACCTGCTTTTCAGAGACCAGGGGAGATGAGGCAGGAAGGGAACACTTAGTTTCCACATACACCACGGGTGAGGAGGAAGAGGGCTTAGCATCATGAAAGAGGCTGGCCCAGGACTTGGGAGGCTGGTTAATGGGAATGGGTGCAAGGAGGGCACTGTTGGCAGGAGGTGGCATGCATTCCAGCTTGGCTGCATTCGAGTCTGTGCTCTCCACAGTGTGCAGCTCCCTGTTGGCAGCTGTGCCCACACTCAAGGATTCAAGTACTTGTCCACTGGCGATGCCAAGGTTCTCAGTAGTATTGGTAGCAGTGCAGGGCAGAGCCACAGCTGTCCTTAGCAGGTGGTCTGCGGGGAGGCAGGCTTGCTCAAAGTCAGGCCCACAGCAGCCCTTGGGCTGCCCCACAGTCCTGGCAGAGCTGTTGAGTGCTCCAGGGTAAGGACCATCAGGCACAGTGTCACTGAGGAAGTCCGTGGAGTTCTGAGGGCTGTCACAAGTCCTGGGTGAAACTGGCGGGAGCATGTCACCCATAAACTCGGCATCCTTGGCAGCCACCCTGCTCAGGCCAGCTGAGTTGGCATGGCCGTTGACCACAGCTTCTGTGGAAATACTCTTGTCACCCCCAGTTTTCAGGTAACTGTAATACCCCGGCAGCTGCTTCTTCTTTTTCCGCTTCCTCTGTCCCAGGCCACCTGGGCCACCAGCGTTCTCCAGAGCCTCCACCTCGGTGTGTGAGCTGCTGACCAAGGCTAGGGCCAGGTCCGGGTATGGGCGGTCAAGGGAGCTGAAGTTCACCTCCTGGTCTAGCCCATCAGGGGTCTTTTTGGAAGCTGTACAACCAAGAATACATTCAGGGGCCTGAGGGTTCAATGTGCTTGAAATACTGTAGCATGGGGCTCTTGGCAGAGTATCACTGGGGTCAATTACTTCATTGACACCAAACTCAATTCTCTGATACTCTTGTCCATCAGGCAATTCGTCCGCAGCCTGAGTGCCACACAGAGCTGTTCCGCTGTATAGGGGGAGCTCAACTGAAGAGCGAGGCATCACAAAGAACTGATTGAATTCATCAGGGCTAAAATCTCCAAAAATATACTGCAGGCCATGGCGGGCCATGGCACCCCATTTCAATGGGACTTGTTACTGCTCTGGCTCCTTCCCGCCGCCACCATCTTCTCGCCACACAGATGCTCGCATCGACTGCCAGGCCTGAGCACTGGCCATGCTGTGGGGCAGGGGCGTGCTCTGCCTGCTGCATAAACTTTCAGTGGAGTTTCTGATCTCCTGGAAATCTGTTTGCATCTGTTTTATGGATTCCATTTGTTTCCTATGTTGGGATTCCATCATGTTCCTCAGCTCCTCTATTTT